ACCAGTGTGTATGTATGTATGTGTATATATATATATATATATATATATATATATTAGTGCTGTCAAACGATTAATCGCGATTAATTGCACGCATCCAAAAAAATATTTGTTGACATAATATATGTGTGTGTACTGTGTATATTTATTATGTATATATAAATGCACACACATGCATGTATATATTTAAGAAAAAAAAATATATATATAATATAAATTATATCAATATAAATATATACACATAAATACATGTAAATATATTTTTTTATATATACTGTATGTGTGTGTGTTTATATACACATAATAAATGTACACAGTACACACACATAGTATGTAAAAAAACTTATTTTGGATGCGATTAATCGTTTGATAGCACTTGCGTGTGTGTGTGTGTGTGTGTGTGTGTGAGAGAGAGAGTGTGTGTGTGTGTGACTCTGGACCACAAAACCAGTCATAACCACACCTTTAAAGTTGTCCAAATGAAGTTCTTAGCAATGCATATTACTAATCAAAAATTAAATTTCAATATTTTTCGGTAGGAAATGTACAAAATATCTTCATGGAACATGATCTTTACTTAATATCCTAATGATTTTTGGCATAAAAGAAAAATTGATAATTTTGACCCATACAATGTATTGTTGGCTATTGCTACAAATATACCCCAGCGACTTAACACTGCTTTTGTGCTCCAGGGTCACACACACATAAATATACTTTAAGCAGCAATATTTACATATACATCAGAGTTGAAGCAGTTCTGAATACACCACTGTGAATAATTGCAGAGTTTAGATGTGGAAGAAACAATGTGGAACATTGCACAAAAGAGGCGTTTCATTCAGTGTTTATTTGTTATTGCAACAGCCCTGGGATATGTGCTGCTTTTCAGTCTTTTGCTTTTATTGTCCTGTACCGCCTTCCTGAGGGTAACAGTTGAAACAGATGATGTGCTGGATGGGATGAGTCTTCCAGAATGCTGCAAGCTTTTCTATGGCTGTGCTGTATTGATAACCCTCTGAAGTGCTGGAATGCAGCACGTGGTTCCAGATGCTGCTGATGCTGAGGGGTTGTTGTGTTGATTCAGGCAGCGGTCTGGAGGTGTTAGCGGTCCAGCGCGTGTCTAAAGCTCAGGCGTGGCAGCGCTCCGGTCGAGCCGGGAGAGAAGACGCCGGCTCATGTTACCGTCTCTACACTGAAGAGGAGTTTGACAACCTCGCCAACATGACCGTACCCGAGATACAGAGGTACGGCCCACACACCGTCTGCAGAGGTGTTATAATAGACCGTATGAGACTGATATACAGCTGTTCACACAAGATGTGTTCTTGCATTTCATCTGCATGTTTTTTCTTTTTTAAAAGTGAAAAAAAAGGAAACAAATGAGTATTTTCTTAAAATACATACTTTATTAAAAATTTTATATTTGTGACCCTGGACCACAAAATCAGTCTTAAGGGTAAATTTTTCGAAATTGAGATTTATGCATCATCTGAAAGCTGAATAAATAATATACTGATTTTTTCTTATATCTGTAATAAAACTATTTATTTTCTTTATTTATTTTCTTTAATTTATTTTCTCAAAACCCATTTTCTGAGAAAAATTAGACATATCAAACATACAGCTTTTTTTAAATGATACTTATTTTCTTTTAAAAAATTATACTGTTTTTCAAGATTTTACAATACTATTTTTTGTATTAATAGTTTGATTTAGATTTTCTTCCGTAATTTTATGTGTCATTTCTATTACTTTTAATTTCTTAGGTATGACTATATCATTTTTTATTTGGCTTCACGATAACATTTTTATGTCTAATAGCATTTTGTATTTTCCGTTTTCATTGTAATTGTAGTTCGTTTTTGTCATTTTATTGTGCGTTTTTATTCATTTTTATTTTATTTGATAATACATACAAGTACAAATTGCTTCACTGTAACACCTTTGTGTAACTGTTTGCATATATTTAAATTAGTTTATTTTAATTTTAGTCATTTTGTTTGAGATTGTAATTTTTATTACTTTGAATTACTTTTTATTGATTTATTTTAGTCGATGTATAAAATAGAAAATGCTTTACTATAACACTTTTGTCCAACAGAATTTGCATATATATTTATGTATTTGTGTAGAGCATTACTGTGTTAGCCTTATATTTTCTTAATATTTTGAAATACTTTTTATATTTTCCATTTTCATTTTAGTCGAAGTTTTAGTAATTTTGTTGTTTTTTGACATTGATTAGTTAGTACTTTTTACTTCGATTTTAGTTATTTTAGTACATCAAAACTAAATGAAAATGAGAAATGTTGACTTGACAACTAGCTGAAATAAAACAGATCTTTTTAAATATATGTATTGGAATGATTTCAGTTGGTGTTTATTTGATGTGGAGCACTGAAGCTGTTGTTTTCTGGCTGTAAGTGTGTTCTTCTGCGTCTGCATTATTTTAGTCGATGTATGAAATAGAAATTGCTTTACTATAACACTTTTGTCCAACAGAATATGCATATATATTTATGTATTTGTGTAGAGCATTACGGTGTTAGCCTTATATTTTCTTAATATTTTGAAATACTTTTTATATTTTCCATTTTCATTTTAGTCAAAGTTTTAGTAATTTTGTTGTTTTTTGACATCGATTAGTTAGTACTTTTTACTTCGATTTTAGTTATTTTAGTACATCAAAACTAAATGAAAATGAGAAATGTTGACTTGACAACTAGCTGAAATAAAACAGATCTTTTTAAATATATGTATTGGAATGATTTCAGTTGGTGTTTATTTGATGTGGAGCACTGAAGCTGTTGTTTTCTGGCTGTAAGTGTGTTCTTCTGCGTCTGCACAGACTCTGCTGATCTCTCCTGAGTTCTCCTGCGCTGAGGAGGTTCTGACCATCATCTCGCTCCTCTCCGTCGACTCGGTCCTCTACAATCCTCCCGCGCGCAGAGACGACGTCCTCGCCGTCCGCAAGAAGTTCATCTCCAGCGAGGGCGACCACATGACGCTCCTCAACATCTACAGGGCCTTTAAGAAAGTCAGCGGAAACAAGGTACTGACACAAACACTGCAAAACATGGTAACATCTGTCATGTGAAATAGCTTCTTCAGGGCTGTGCTAAATGAAAAACAACATGACATTTCTATATGTTTTGATAAAAT